TTTGCATACTTTGGTGACTGTCAAGCTTGTTGAACTGGTATCATTGGAGCTTCTGTGAAGGCATACGGCTAGACAGGCTTCTCTGCACATGGCCAGTCTTTCACAGTCTTTCTCAGGGCCCCACCAGGCTGGACCTGGCTCCACATTAAATGATGGATGTTAGAATTTTCAGTGGCCAACTTCAAGAGGACGTAGGTAACTGCTAAGCAGTGGAATTGCTGGGGAATTTGAGGTCTTATTTTGCTGGCTTTAGAGCTTTACTATTAAAAGTTTTTGCCATGAGAAGGAATAAAATTTAGACACTTGATGACACAAGCCTTGTTCTCTGAAGCAATAGTGCCTCAAGTCCCCAAATAATACTTTTTCCTCTTGCATATAGATATGCACACCAAATTCCAAGACGACTTCACCTTCTGTCAGCCACACACGCAGCCACAGGCTGCCAGTTGTCTCCTAACATCAGTTCTTCAGGCCATAACTAGGAAGATGCTGAGGGAGACCACGGTCTCTTGTATGGAAGAGATGTCCTACTCCATGAAAATGTCCGTGAGCTATGCACTGTGGAACAATTTGTCATTACTTGACGATACCATATTCTAGACACAGGCTCAGAGACTTGCTGGGGAAGGCTGGTAGCCCGGATCTGAGTCCTGTTCCTGGTCCAAGTTTTGCACCCTGCTCTCACCTTCTTTTTACTAAGAATGGTTAGTGAATAATACTGAGATTTGAGAAAGCCTTTTTTTTTTTTTTTTTGCATAAACAGGAGGGTAGATCATCAATGTAAATGGTACAGACAAGCTGGAGCAAAATGATTCCTAAGTAGCATCAGCTGGGGTTGCAGCAAAATCATAAAGTAGAGGTTCCATGTCTGAGTGTACCCTGTGTGTGTACTTACCTCAGGCCTCGAAGCCTGCAGTGACAACAGTGAGACGTTCCGGCTTGCTGTGGGTAGTGGTCTGACACAGTAATGTGGAAAAGTCTTAACAACACTGGGATTTCCTTAGTGTTGACTTGCGATGTCTCTGGGGTCAGTGTGAAAATATATTGATCTAGAAGCCCATTTCGTGGGCTGAACACCTCTCGGAGAAGGTCCCCTAAATGCTAAGATATGAGAAACAAGGGTTATATCTACTAATGACAATGAGTCCAAGTGTCTCATATTCAGTAAAAATTAATTGAAATGTATTAAATTCTTCTCTTTCCCAATCTCATTAACATTTCACTTTTGGAGTGCAACATTCTCTTTGCGCAGTCACTGGTGTGATGCACTGCGTTATTTTGCCAAACACCTTTGGATTTTATAGTCAATATGCTCTCAGCATGTAGCCTACATAATTTCTGAAGTTGGCCTAAAATCACACCAACTAACTCCAGGCTATGATTTGCTTTAGGTTGTTGCGTTTGGCTTCCAGAGCCCAGCCTCCTTTCGAGTCGAGTCAGTAGGATTCTTTCTGTTGCCTTTTGCAGGAC